ATATCAAGTGCTTTTCCTTTATTCTTTCTTTTTTCTTTTCGTCTGCCTATTCCTAGTCTTTCTGTTTTCGAGTTTTCTTTTCACTTCACTCATCTCTCCACCTCCTTCTTCCAATGTGATTTAACTCCAACCTTTCCCACTTCCAAAATCATCCAATTTCCCTTTGACTTTTGCATCATCCACATTCGCATATTCTTATCTCTGTTTACATTTTTTCTCTTTCTCTTTTCTTCTCCATTTCATAAATCATCCACTTTCCCTTTTATTCCTAAATCGTCTTCTTTGACTTTTAAATCATCCACTTCCTTCTTTCTCATTTTTGCTATCTCTCCGCCCTCATCCACTTTTTTTCGACTCCTCCACTTCCTGAATCATCCAGTCTTCCTGCATTTCCTGCACTGCTTAAATAATCCACCTTTCTTTGTGTCCTTATTTTTTTTTTACATTTTCCTTACTTCTATTCTCTTTTTACTTATCTTTCCACCGTCATCCACTTTTCGCCAGTTCCTTCTCCACTTCTAAAATCATCAACTTTTCTTTCGCCTCCTAAATTATCCACTTTTTTTCAATTTACTTAATTCTAGTCCACTTCTTTTCCCTTCTCTCCTCCCGCCTTTCATAAGTATGCGATGGTAAGCGATCCACCTTTTATAAGTATGATAAGTAACTCTTCGTATTAAGTAATTACTTGAGGAAAGGTTATTGATGGAAAAAAAATTACTTACTAGAAATAGATTTATCACTTTAAAGGCAGCGAGAGCATGAGTCCACTTGCGGAGGTGGATGGCAGCTCGTTCAGTGATGGATGTGTTAATTGATACGCGGAGCCCCGGTGGATTGCTTGAGGGACTGACGGGCGAATAAACTCTGTCTGTCTGTCTGTCTGTCTGTCTGTTTGTTACTCCTTGTGTGTCTCTCTGTCTTTCACTCTGTCTGTCTGTTTGTTTGTTACTGTTTGTGTGTCTTTGTCTTTCACTCTGTCTGTCTCTCTGTTTGTTACTCTTTGTGTGTTTTTCTGTCTTTCACTCTGTCTGTCTGTCTGTTTGTTACTGTTTGTGTGTCTTTCACTCTGTCTGTCTGTCTGTCTGTTTGTTACTGTTTGTGTGTATTTCTGTCTTTCACTGTCTGTCTGTCTGTTTGTTACTGTTTGTGTGTCTTTCACTCTGTCTGTCTGTCTGTTTGTTACTCCGTGTGTGTCTTTCAGTTTTTCACTCTGTCTGTCTGTTTGTCTCGCATTCTATGTCTGTTTATCAGTTTGCGTCCCACTCTTTGTGTGTCTCTCGCTCTTCATCTCGCTGTCTCTCACTCTGCCTATGTCTCTCTATGTGTCTCTTACTCTCTATCTTTCTGTCTGTCTCTCACTCTGTCTGTGGATCTATCTCTCACTATTTGTCTCTTACTTTGTCTGTTCATTTCTTAGTCTATCTGTCTCTCACTCTCTATATGGCTGCCTCTTATTCTTCGTCTGTCTGTCTCTATCCTTCCTTTTTTTTCCTATCTGTTGTTTGTTTTCCATTTTAATTAGAGTAACTACCTCCTCTGTCAAACTATATTCATAACCGCTACAGTAACCAATCTTCTGTCTCCAGGTTTGTTTACACAACTTAACTCTCCAGGATGATAAACAAGGCTAACATCAGACTGACCAATCACGAGGCAGGACACATCTCCACCCGACCAATCACGAGGCAGGGTCCATCTTCACCCGACCAATCACGAGGCAGGACGCATCTCCGACTGACCAATCACGAGGCAGGACACTTCTCCGCCCGACCAATCACGAGGCAGGATCCATCTTCACCTAACCACTCACGAAACAGGACGCATCTCCGACCGACCAATCACGAGGCAGGACGCATCTCCACCCGACCAATCACGAGGCAGGATGCATCTCCGACCGACCAATCACGAGGCAGGACGCATCTCCGACTGACCAATCACGAGGCAAGACACATCTCCGACTGACCAATCACGAGGCAGGACGCATCTCCGACTGACCAATCACGAGGCAAGACGCATCTCCACCCGACCAATCACGAGGCAGGACGCATCTCCGACCGACCAATCACGAGGCAAGACGCATCTCCACCCGACCAATCACGAGGCAGAACGCATCTCCGACTGACCAAACACGAGGCAGGACGCATCTCCGACTGACCAATCACGAGGCAAGACACATCTCCACCCGACCAATCACGAGGCAGGATCCATCTTCACCTAACCACTCACGAAACATGACGCATCTCCGACCGACCAATCACGAGGCAGGACGCATCTCCATCCGACCAATCACAAGGCAGGACGCATCTCCGACCGACCAATCACGAGGCAGGACCCATCTTCAACAGACCAGTCAACCAATCACAGAACAGGAAACCTCTCTTTCCTACAAATCAACCAATTACAAGGCAGGACCAACCAATTACGAGCAAAGGGCATATCTCTGACCGACCAATCGCGATGCAGGACACATATTCAACGCGCTAATCAACCAATCACG